CTTTTAAGTAATAGCAATATAAATAGTACAGTTTGTTTACTTATTTAAATGTAATATGTAGAAAGAAGTTGTACCTATCACGTTCTGATTCTTTGGATGTTCTCATAGGAGCTAAATTAAAGAAGGAGCGAGCCCAGCTTTTGGTCAACACAAAAAAAATAATAAAGAAGCCAGAATATGATTTGGAGGAAGATGACCAGGAAGTCTTAAAAGATCAGAACTATGTGGAAGTTTTGGGAAGAGATGTTCCAGGTATTTGGGGGAGAGAAATATATGCTTATATATCTACAAGTAGCAAAAATTGCTTTACAAGATACACAAAAGTAGTCTGGTAGGTTAAACAGTGGTGTGCTATATTACCGTGTTTTTCATTTGAAAAGTATTTGCTTCAGGTTTTTTCTCCATGGTTCGTTTTTTAATAAACAACCAATCCTGCACTTAATTATTTTTAGAAAGAAGGAATCTATAGACCAACTACTCTAAAGTTATTTTTTAAGATATTTATATTTTTAACTTACTTAAAATAATTTTATAAAGCAAGTTATTTCATTTTTACCTTGATCTTCTTTACAGAAATAGTTAGGAGGAACATTCCAGGAAGTAGTGTTGTTCAAACCCAGGCATGCTGGTATTATGGGTTTTTTGTTTTGTTTTATTTTTTTAACACTTCAGCCAGATTCCTTCCAGCTTATACTTAAAAAAATTTTTAGACTTGAATTATATTTTAGTGAGGAGCCTTCTCATTGACTGTTTTTTTTTATTTCTTTTTTTTATTTTTCTCTCTCCACTTGGCCCAGGCCTAAGTGCAATCATTGACTTTTAATTTGCTGCCTGTGATCATATTTTCTGTATCCCTGAATACAGTCTTAAATCCTATCTGATACAAAGCATGCATATTATGGATAAAAATATCTTTTAAATGTTTTAAAATATTGTGATTTTAATATGTATAGTTTCACTTACATAGTTGTAAAATTAAAAATATTTTTTAAAAATTATGGTGAAATATACATAAAACTTAGCATCTTAACCATTTTTAGGTGTACAGTTCAGTGGCATTAAGTATATTCACACCATTTGCAACCACTCTCTAAAACTCTTAATCTTACAAAACTGAAATTCTCTCGCCATTAAACAACCCCCTAGTCTTCTCTTCCCCTAATCCTTGGCAACCACCCTTCTACTTTCTGTTATGTGAATGTGACTACTATAGGTACCTCATATAAGTGGAATCATACAGAATTTATTTTTTTGTGACTGCCTTATTTCACTTACTATAATGTCTTTAAGGTTCATTCATGTTGTAGCATGTGTCAGAATTTCCTCCCTTTTTAGGGCTGAATAATATTTCATTGTATGTATATACCATCTTTGTTTATCCATTCATCTGTAGGTAGACACTTGGGTTGCTTCTACCTTTTGACAGTTATGAATAATTTTGCTATGAACAGGTGTACAAATATCTCTTTGGAACCCTGCTTTTAATTCTTTTGGATATATACCAACAAGTGGAAATGCTAGGAATCATATAATAATTCTATTTTTAATTTTTTGAGGAACTACCATAACTTTTTCCACAGTGGCTGCACTATTTTACATTTCCACCAGTAGTGCACAAGGGTTCCAATTTCTCCACATTCTTGCCAACATTCATTAATATATATTTTTAATATAGTATCCCTTTTAATGGCTATGTAGTGGTAGTTTTGTTTCTTTTTAAATATAACATTGTTAAATTCTTAGAGGTCATTCTTTGGACAAAAAAGAACTTTAATAGCTGAGTAATATTGCATACTTATCCATAAATCTTATATGGTTTCCTCTACTATACTTTTGGATTCTTTCTAATTTTTTATTTTGTAACAATAAAATAGTGATTGATTTTGATGTAGGAGTTGAGTCTTTTAACGTAAGTTTGCAGGAGGTTAGCTGGTGTAGGAACAGTATCACCTTTTTGTTTTTGCTTTTTTTCAGACTACATGTCTGTAATGCATCATCTGGAATTTCCAGCTTTATTTTCTCCCAGTAGATTAATAATTTAAAGATTCTTTTTATGCAGTCTGAGTATAGTGGGCTTTTATGTTTCTCAAATTTTCTTTTAAGTCTTTTATGGTTTCTCATCCATACCTAATTTGAAACCAGTTGTTTTAGCTAATAACTTCTATCAAGTCTTTGTAAGCATTTAACTTTGTATAGAAACTACTTGATATTTTTCTTTTGGTTTCTTTCTCTTTTTTTTGAGACAGGGTCTTACTCTGGTACACGGGCTAGAACACATTGGCGGTCGTCATAACTCATTGTAGCCTCTAATCCAGAGCTTAAGCAATCCTCCTGCCTCAGCCTCCTGAGTAGCTGGGGCTACAGGCATGTGCCACCACACCTGGCTAATTTTTTATTTTCTGTAAAGATGTGGTCTTGCAATGTTGCTCAGGCTGGTCTCTAATTCCTGGACTCAAACATTCCTTCCACCTCAGCCTCCCAAAGTGCTGGAATTACAGGCTTGAGCCACTGCACTCAGCCTTTATTTATTTGTTTATGAAATGAGATCTTGCTATGTTGCCCAGACAGGACTTGAACTCCTGAGCTCAAGCAATCCTCCCATCTCAGCCTTCTGGCTAGCTGTGACTAGAGGTGTGTACCATTACTCCTGGCTACTTGATATTTTTAAATTCATATTTTGTATGCTAAACATTTAAGTTATATAATTATAGTAACAAATTCTCTCATTTGACTGCATATATGGAAACTGGATATACGATAGAAGTAGCATTTTAGATCCCTGAGCTAAATCAATAAATGGTCGGCACAATTGGATATTCCTATGAAAAAAAAATTGGATCTCTACCTC